CGAGTTCCGCAAGATCATCTTCACCAAGGCATTCTCGCGGGGCATCCGGGGGTCGTGTGGAAAGGAATGGAGTGTGAGATACGCACGTGGATCAGGGAGTGTCCAGAGATAGTCGCAACACCTGGTCTTCTCAAGCATTTACCTTCTCCATCAGCGCCAGCTCTCGTTCTCAGCTTCAAAGAAGGTGGCAGAGATCTTCTGGAGGGAGGTGGTGAGGTTCCATGGCGTTCCAAGCGAAATCGTCTCCAACCGAGACACCAGGTTTCTCAGCCAGTTTTGGAAAGACCTTTTCGCAACGTTAGGGACAACACTGAGCTTCAGCACCGCCTACCATCCCCAGACAGATGGTCAGACGGGACGGACGATTGGAGACATTGGGGATACGTGGCGGACCAGCTGGGCTCATGGACAAAGTGGATCACATTCGCGGAGTTTGCCTACAACACTGCTCGGCACTCAACCATCGGTATGTCTCCATACCAGGCGCTTTATGGACGTGCAGTAGCTTCCCCGATCTTGATGACAACTCCCACTTCATCAAACGACGTCAGTGACCGAGTGGAAGCCATCAGGTAGATGCAGCAGCTGATTGGGCAACGGTTGGAATTTCCTCGTGTAGTCACAGCTCCATCCCAGATTCTTCGGCCCACTCAGGATACTCGAAAAGATCAACGAGCTCGCCTATAAGTTGGCATTACCACTGGGGTCGCACCTACATAACGTTTTCGACGTGTCGGATCTCAAGCTTTTGCGGACCAGCTCCCGGAGTTTTTTCCTGCGCCGGAGTTTGTCTCCTCCGACAAGATACAAGGTCAGGTGGCACGGAACGGATGACGAACCGGAACGGACCAGAGCTCCTCGAAATAGACCTGTTAGGACGTACTATAAGCGCATGAGAGTACGAAGGATTTATTACCATCTTATCTCATCTCTTCTCTCACATCTTACCTCTCTCCCCACATCCATCAGTTTAAGGAATTTAAGCACTGTCGGGATGATGGATGTCGAGTTTTGGCCTGGCACCTGGGTTAAAAATTCACTCGCTCTCGCGATCACCTTGATGATAGACTATGGAGTTACGAGGCATCAGAAGACCTTTATCAACACTCGAGATACACTAAAAAGCCTTGCCATATACAACATTGCAGATCAACTTCAAGCAAGTGATGAGGTTGATCCGTCAGTTTACTTTGGATATTCCCCTACTCTAAATCTCCAGCGCCATGCCGTGCCAGCTGCTCACGATATCGCCAGGTTTTGGTGTGCGGGATCCTCGTCTTTGATTTCACTCAGAAGATTTTCCTTGCTTCCAAGCCGGAGCATTGTTTCTACAAGAATCTATTCAATGACAGCAGCTGAAAGACACTGTCCGGTGAGTGTTTCCACGTTCTCTTGACATCGATTTTGCTTCAATCGTTGTGGAAGTAAGTTCCATCGAATTGGCAGATGCATGGTTTACCCCTGGTAAAGGGATTCTTGTGCTTAAATTCCTTTCTTTTTCCATAGGATCTATTAGGGCTTGAAAGGTTGGGTATGGAAATTACTAGTAAGAGCGTTCCATTGTGGTGGTTCTTCTTACCTGTTTCAATAATTATGACTTGGGCCATTACTTTCTATGTTTTCACCATTTACATCACTTTTTATCCTCCAAAGTGGCACTGCCCAAGTGGTGTTCTCTATTGTCGAAGAGACTGCAATGCACTAAACGTTGGCTACCATTGGGGTTTTACGTCGGATTACTTGGCTTATGTAACAATTGGGCCAAAGTACTCTGCGATTCGATATTGGCAGCTTGTTTGCTTCACTCACCACATATATACATTTTTATCAGTGGGCTATATTATTGGAGGTAAGACAGTCTCATAAAATATTATTTCTAAGATGTTTTTACAGCTATTATTGGAATCGTTACTCTCTTTCACTCCAGGTGCTGTATGCTGGTTAGTATTTTTATTGGAGCAGCGAGTGCATTAGCAAGCACATATGTCTCAAATCGCTCCTGGTTTATCGTTTGGCAAGTTTTGTCTGCAATAGCACATTCTTGTGCAGGAACATCAGCCATAATGAGATGGTTCATAGAAACACCCCGTTTTCTTGGCTCGAAAAGATGGCTTTTTCCAAATCATGGATTTGGTGACCGCCAAGGGCAAGATCATTACCACATATATGAGGTGATTGGTGGATATCCTATACTTTCTTTATGTGAGCCATGTTGCATACCTATAATTTATGTCTGTAAACGTCTATATCCAAACTGGAGGTGGGGAAACAGGATGGTGTGCGTCATGGACTCTATTGTTGTTGTGGTGTTAATGGGGGAAATGGTAGCACGGGTTCTGATGAAAAAAAGAGGCAGTGGGAGAGTAGCAAATGTTTCCGATTAAGAAAGAAATATGGCTTCTTTTGTGTAATATTATGTGGTTGATGCGAAAGTTTGTAAAGGATTTGTAGTACTGTCAGAGTGCGAGGGGGCATGGGGAAAATCCTTGCCACTTCTTCCAGTGAGCCTGATATTATTGTAGTTTAAAACACAAATAAGGTGGCCAAATCCCACTGCGTTGGCGAGCCCTGTCTGAGTCTTCCAGGAATCCATTCTGGGCGTAGCACAGCAGTAGATTCGTCCATGACACGAGATCCTTGGCCGGCATTCTCCCTGGTGCGCGAGCTCCGTGATCATCGAGTTCCGTGTCACTCTGAGACGCGATCGAACATAGCCTGGCAGTCGCGGATCCGGGAGGCTGCCACATATACGAGACAAGATCGCGGAACGCCATCCCATCAAACGTGTTCTTGGCAAGCGCAAGATGCCCGGACTGAGCATACAGTGTAATTCCAAGAGACCACGGTGATCCGGCATGGATCTTCTTCGCTTGGCCGAGATTGGAGCTCCGGATGTAGGATTGCACCACCTCGTTGCAGGACACGAGATTCCACTGTGGCATAGGAGGCTCTTGGATTGCTCCCTGGCAAAGCGTCGCGATGGGGCATTCGATCGAAGAGCCGGAATGATCGAAGAGCTCGGCGGCATTGGAGGGATTTCGGCGATCCATCTCTTGTATTCCACCAATCCGCCGATGGGAGAGGGCAGGCAGGCACGAAAGACATCGTCTCGAGGAAACTCTCGGCGTCGCAAAGCCTTCCGATCTCGCGAGAGTAGTGATCCCATTGGAACGATGCCATAGTCAGCGATCATAGGCGACCATAGACACGAACTGATCGCGGGCGATTAGGATCTTGCAAGCCGAGAGGACGGTGATGAACGAGACGAGATCGATCCTCACTCCGCCATCGAGCGTGGTCGTGGATGGCTTCCCTGTAATGCGCTTTTTGGGCATATGTTTCCATCATCAAGTTCCAGGCAGCAAGATCTCTCGTGCGCATTGCGGCAAGAACAGCTCGAGCCTCGATCACACGGCCATTGCGAGCGTAAGCGTGCATCAAACTCGTCCAGCACTGGCAATTCACTATCTCGCCCCGGGATGCTGTCAAACGACATTGGATGGCGTAGCCCGAGAGGATCGCGTTCCCGGTGAAAACGTTCCATCTCGGCATTTTGTGCTGGATCATGAGCGCGTCCTCCATTCTCCCAGCCTGGCCGAGCATCGCGACGAGCATATCAAGTCCCTTGCGGGCATTTGCTGGTGGATCCCCCTGGACATAGGCGGCGGCAACGATGTTTCTGCGGCACGCTCTGTCAGCCCATTCCAGGACACGAGAGTCCGGAATCCGGAAAAACATCCTCTTGACCTCTTCTACAAGGCATAGCCAAGTTCCTCGTCGCCATCGTCTCAAACCTCCACCAAATTCCCGATTTGCACGAAAGCTCCGACAGCACGAGATCTTTCTCGGGCTCAGTGTCGTAAAAAGCCTTAGTTATACCCATTTGCCTCATCTTGGCAAATGCTGGGATTACAGCTAGGAATTAGAAATTTACAAAGGCTTCAATGAATAAATTCCTTTTAGCATATGCCCTGCTTGGCATATCCTCTGGTCCAATACTCATCCTCAGTGCAATGTCTAAGGAATCAATGAGCGAGATTATGGATACAACATATGTTACTAACACTTGGTTTTTAACCAAAGCTGCTGAATTAAAAAATTACTACAGAACATTTTTATATATCAAATATGGAATTATATACTCTTTCATTATTAACTATAGAATCAAGGGTAAAAAGTAAATATACCTGATATGAAACATATGGTATAGATTCGTCTTCAGTGCATTCCTGTATCCCTATCCACCACCTCATAATTTGATGATGTCCCTGCATAAGCATGTGCTACTTGTAAAGCAATGAATGTAAAACATATGTGAGCTCCTCCAATAGCAAAGCTAACTAGCATAGACAACTGAAACAAATTGTTAAGCAATTATCCATAACTAAATCTAGCTTACCTCCAGCCACATAGCCCAGTGATAGCAAAGTATATAGATACGGAGTGAAGCAAGGAAGTTGCGCAGAATAATTTAGCCCAAACTTCCCAGTTCGAATGAATAGAAACCACAGTGGTATTTAGGTGAGAAACATCCTCTTTAAAGGGCTATAATTTAAATATACTAGTGTTTGGTTTTCTTTCATCTTAGAACAAATAGCTTTTCAGAAAAGATCTCGGAGACAGTGAAGGCTGTTTTCGTTCTCGAATCCATATAGCTAGAAACGCAATAGCAACCACAAATCTTTTAGTGATATTTAAAGATAAAACCAAGCGCGAACTTTTTGTAATGGTCGGCAAGCAGCTCGCGCGCAGATTGAGCTGACTGGACACATCGCCTCTGAAATGATGTATATATCCTTTTTCCAATCTAGCTTTATTTGTGGAGATCTTGGCCGTTTTCGATCTAGTAGCTACGTCTTGGAGCAGCTCAAGAGCCGGGAGCTTGAGCTGCACAGGAAGTGTTCCTGCCATTTTTACTTCCATTCCTTTGAGTTTTGTTATACCAGAAGGAAGGGAGCTGAAGCTCTAAAGGTGAGGCTTTCGCTTCTCCTTTTTTCTGATCATTCTTTTTGTTGTTTCTGCATGTGATGGAACCGGTTAGCATCTCTCACGGTTATAGATACCACCATCTTGGATACAGACTTGATAGCCGAGTGGCAATCCCCACACACCCGCAAGTTCCTCAGCGCCGAGATCAATCCAAAAGCCACAGCCATCTTTTCGCCGTGGTAGTGCAACAGCTCCTCCTTTTGCTCCTCATGAAAGATCTCCTTCGTGTCGGGAACGTAGCCAGCGTGCCGCATTTCTCTCGCCAGCCTCTGGAGATCCGCGACGATATCTTCGCTGTGAGGATGCGAAAGATCCCCCACCACGAAACTGTGAACTTCGCTGCCAAACTTCGATGTTGCTGATCCCCGGAAGTTTTCTCACTCGCCTCGACTTCATCAGGTTCCGGATCATCGACACCTTGTCCCTCCTCCAGATCGACGAGTACATGTTCCAGAGAACCACGTATGCAGTCGTGTAGCCTCGAAGATCTTCGCCGCGACTCGCTCAGCTCAATCGGCTTCGCGGTGGATCAGGTGACAAGCTCCCAGCAGCGACATCCAGATCACGATGTCTGGAAGGAATGGCATCGAGTTGACGACGGTGCTCAGAGTTCTTCATGCAGCAATAGCGCTCTCTCCTCGGCACCATCCCCAAGCAGACGAAGTGGTCCCAGCCCTCGGCCACGAGACCGACATGGCTGCACGAAGTTCGAACGTTCCGGAACGTATGGAAGACTTCCCCGTTTCGAGCATAAGCCCACACCAAGGTCATCTAGGAAACGAAGTTGCGCATCTTCATGCTCTCAATCATGCTCCTGGCGGCGCCGAGATCGCTCAAAAACTTGCGGGAGAGCTGTCCAGCAGACGATGGTCTTGCGTGGAAGAACCCCGCCAAAGTGCCCACTCTCGGCATACGTGAGGAGCATAGACTGGATTCTTTTCCAGGATTTGAACGAAGATTTTCTTCGCGAGGGCGACAAAGCCTTGGTAAGCTAAGCTTGCACAATCGCCGTCCACGCCACCACGTCCTTATCCGGCATGGAATCAAAGATCTCTCTCGCGTTGGCAAAATCCCTTCTTTGGCCATTCTTGTAGTTCTCCGGAGCCGATGGAACGCCCTGTCCAATTCTTCCAGGAATCATTCTGCAGGTAGCACAGCAGTAGATTCGTCCACGACATGGCCGGCATTCTATCAAAACTCGATTTTGCTGCCTCGATTTGCCCCTGCGCGAGCGCTGTGATCATTGAGTTCCATATCACGGCCTGGAGCTCTGGGACACGATCGATCACCGCCGGGCAGTCCCGGATCTGGATGCCGCCACATATCCAGCGATCATCGGGTTTCACGAGACAAGATCACGAAACTCCATCCCGTCAAAAGTGTCTTGGCAAGCTCAAGTTGCCCAAACTGGGCATACAGTGTAATGAGCAAGTTCCAAGATGCCACGTCATGATCCGCCATGGAATCGAAGATATTCTTTTCCTGGTCGAGATTGGAACTCCGGATATAGGACCTCACGACCACTTTGCAGAACAAGAGATTCCAGTGGGGCATTCGATCAAAGAGGCTCTTGGATCGCGCAATATTCCCCTCCCTGGCACTTTGCGATGGCACATTCGATCGAAGAGCCGGGATGCGATCGAAGAGCTCGGCGGCATTGAAGGTGTTCCCAGGAGTATTTCGGTGATCAAGAGAGATCACGCATCTGCAGCGCTGCCGCAGCGCCCATACAACTGGATGAGGAGATTGGCGAAGAAAATATCCTTGCCACGGCCAGCAGCCCTCACGAGATCCGCCAGGAAATGTCGCTCCACTAGCCCTGCGATCGCAGCAGTCATTCGCCCCCGACATTGCTCTCTAACCCAAAGTTTTGGTTCTCGCGATCATAGGCGACCATTGATCGCGGGCGATTTGGATCTTCCCCAAATGGCTGCAAGCCGAGAGGATGGTGATGAACGACACAAGATCGATCCTCACTCCACCGTCGGGCGTGGCCTCGTGGAAGAGTTGGATGGCTTGCTCAGTTTGGGCATATGCTTCCATCATCAAGTTCCAGGCCGCAAGATGCGATCGTTTGACAGCATCCCGGAAGAGATCGTGAATTGCTGCTGGACGAGTTTGGTTCACGCTTACGCTCGCAATGGCCGCGTGATCGAGGCTCGAGCTGTGCTCGCCGCAATGCCCACGAGAGTGGATATCTCCCGCATAGCCGGAGAGGATCGCAAAACATTCCATCTCGGCATTTGCTGCTGGATCTTGAGGGCGTCCTCCATTCTCCCGGCCTGGCCGAGCATTGCGACAAGCATATCAAGTCCCTTGTGGGCATTTGGTGGTGGATCGCCATCGACATGCCCGTGCTGGGCATAGGCGGCAGCGATTGATGTAGGCAACTGTGGCATTCGATCAAACAGCAGCTTCGCTCTTGCCGTTTTCCATCAGCCCATTCCAAGACACGAGATTCTACTGGGCCATCCGGGAAAACATCCTCTCGGCCTCTTCTACAAGGCATAGCCCGACACTATTTTTGTCCACGAAACCAAGTCCCTCGTCACCATTGTCTCAAACACACCTCGAGCCTAATTCCCGATGTGCATGAAAGCTCTCACCAATGAAGTTGATAGTATTGAGGTTAGTGAGATCCAGGTGGCACATGTCCTGCCAGGTTACCGGAGGGTTCATGGTTTATCAAATATAACCTTTTGTCCATCCATTGTTTCTTTTCATGGTATCATATCCTGGGACGATGGCTCTCACTGGTGAGGAGGAGGATGAGCCACCTTAATCAGAAGTGGATGGCGCTTGTTGGCTGACAACAAGGTGAGCTACAAGATCATGGTTGCAAGGAGAGTTCTTGGTGTTGCACTAGAGCCCAGATCAGGGCAGAGGCACTGGGTGCTGAGACAGAGAAGTGTTGCTAGAGGAGGTGATGCCAGGGAGTAAGCTGTGTGCTGTGTATGGTGTGGAGTACAAGTTGTGCTCTAGATGCTGCCAGTAGAGGACAGTGCTGGACGTGCTGTTTTAAGGCACCACCAGCCATAAATAATCATTAGAATCTATCCCCACAAAATAAAGAAGGTTGTCTTAAGACAATATTAAGAATATAAATGATAGAATGGTAAGTCATTAGCATGTGATGCAAGCCTTCTCGAAGCCTTCGAATTCATAGCTCCTCTTCCTTTCCACTATCTAGGATTCTAAGACAACATTTCGGAACACTATATGGGCCTCATGGGTACTCTCCCACCTTCCGCCTTTGGGTGCTTTAGCCATGGGGCTAGAGTGAGGTTCTGTTGAACCACGCCAAGTATCCAAATAGGTAGTGCCATCCACATTTGGACTAAGAGTATCAATCATTCAATCTCTTAGGGGAACTAAAGTCGGATCTTGAACACTTTACCAAGTTACCCCGCTTGTCGGTCCATATTCACTCTAACTTTGGACTTCCTAGTGGTTATTTCATCATCTAACACTTGGGTATAACTTTCCTAGGCCAAACTAGCCTTTTTTGGCCAAATTGGCTCCACTGGGGTCCAACCCCCACACTCTCCCTATTATACTTTTGGAACCCTCTGCAACCCCCCCCCCCCCCCCCCAAGGGACGATTACTTTGGGCTTTCACTTAACAGTCTGTATTAGTATTCGGACTCAATCTCAGTCTTGGTTTCAGACTCGGACTCAATTTCAGTCTCGGTCTCGATTCCATCTTGGACTCCATCTCGGGTCCATCTCAAACTCTATTTAGGACTCAATCTTGGATCCATCTTGGACTCCATCTTGGACTCCATCTCAGACACTTCCACATGTCATGTGTTGGTCCTCTTGTGTCCCTTTTCTAGAGACTCACTTATTGCTTGCTTCATGCTCGTTCCTCGAACACTTCGTTGGGAGTTTCACTCCTGCTCTTGACTTTTCAAGTTGGAGCTTTTAGTCCAAATATATTACACTTATTTGGCTTCTACATCAACCACTACCATATGGCACCCTTTTGGCTCCCCTTTGGGGCTTAAGGATTTTGTGTCTCACACTAGTTTGGTGAACTAACAACTTCTCCCCAGACGATTCAAGAAATTAGCAGTGTGAGGAAGAGGGTACACATTAGGGATTGTCACTTAGTTTAAGAAATAATAGTCAATGCAAAAACAAATACTCCTATCAGGCTTCGTCACAAGATGAGGTTCACATGCCCAAAAACTCCAAGACTTTCGAATAACACCTTTTTCTAACATCTCCTTAACGTTCACATGTAAAATCTTGAGCTCTTTAAGTGATTGATCAAGCTTTTAACCTCATCCTTGGTATAGATTGGGTGCAACGCAATTATGCCAAGTGTGACTTAAGGCTTCTCCCCCTTGTCCCAACAAATATGAAACTTAATTGAATGAGCATCCCTGATGAGAATCAGATGACGTATGGTAATCTTGGCCCCAAATGATAGATCAAATTCAAAGAGATTGGCATACTCCTTCATAAGTTGGTCAACTGTTGTAACACAAAGAGAAAAGGGAAGAGCAGAATAAGATGGAAACGTAGGAGGAAGTAATGGGGAGACAAAAGTAATTAAAACAGAGATAAAAGTAGAGGGATAAAGAGGTATAGGAATGAGAGGAATGGATGAAATATAAAGAACTATGCTTGGCACCACTCGCAATAACTACAACCCAAGCTAAAGATTGCCCACATACACAACTAGGTTTGAATCATCCCGTGCACATGCATATGTACAACCGTTGCCATAAAGAATGAAAACTAGCTCCACCACATAATGCAAATGTAGATGGCAACATGTGGTAATAGGTCGAGCAATAAAAGATAAACTTGAATATATATCAACCAACAGAAAGAGAATAATAGGAGACCTCTTTTTATAAAAATAAGTTTGGAAAGTAAACACTGAATAAATTGGTGCCAAGTGAACCCCTTGATGATACTCTCGAAAGAAAAATGGAGGGGTTATTAACTTATTTGCGTAGGGTCCTTCCGTTACTTGTGTGACTCTTTATTTCCCAGATGCATCTTGGTGTTCAGACCTTCCACTGTAGCAACACCAACAGAACATTGTTGACGCTAAGGTGTCCACCTAGGAAATGGAAGCTACCAATTTGGAAAACACTAATAGTGCTGATAAGTGTGACTAACTTCATCACACACCCAGCAGTAAACATCACAACCACAACCACATCCTCACCTTTGTCCTTAAACTCAAGCAGCAACAACACTAACCTCCATTAGAATAAGACTATCTCCCACAGGAAGTGGACTTGAAGGACGTGCAGTGAGAAGTGGAAGAGGTCATATCTCATAACATTGTGCCAAGTGAGGGGCATCATCAAGGGTGGCTGGAGCAAGTGCATGCACAAATCCTCCAAGACCTTAATGAAGGGCTGGCCACAACATTCTTAGCTTGATATGCTTCGATATATTTGGCTCTGCACGAAGTAAGAAACTTC